TACGAACTGCTGAAATGGGCTTTCTTAGACGAGTCGCTGGCCTTACGCGTCTCCACATTGTCCGGAGTAATGTCATCCGGAAGAGCCTTGGAATAGAGCCTTTGCTTCTCCAGATTGAGAAGTCACAGCTGCGATGGCTTGGGTATGTGTTCCGTATGCCTCCAGAAAGGAAGGCTAAGCAACTGTTCCTTGCAAATCCGACCGGCAAAAGGCCTAGGGGACGGCCAAGATTAACCTGGTGCAAACATATGGAAGGAATGTGTTCCAGACTGCATTTGTCTTTTGCCGAAGCTCAGACTCTGGCACAGGATCGGGAACGTTGGAAGCACTGTCTGACGCGTCTGCCTCCGCGACCCGAAAAGGAGAAGCGGCGATGGAACATGAAGATGAAGGAAGATGTTTTTCCTCCCGTTGTGTTGTTTTTATTTCGTCTTAAATCTCCGAATGGCTAAAATGTCGGATGGAACAATGAAACTTTACCACACAAGATGCAAACCAGTGCATTAAACAAAGAAGCTAATCTGAATATCTTCAATGTAAAAAACAGCTACATTTGCTTGACGTCATATGATTCACACAGCAAATATTTAAAAAACGAAAACAAATCCATGCTCCATCTGCAGCTTGCCGCTTGTCTCTGTTACACACAAACACTTTCAGGGGTCAAAGTCAATCTGGTACTTGATGCATCACCTAATCATCAATATGAAAGTACGTATAATATAAACTTATCATCCCCGACTATCCTGAATAGGCTGTTCTTCACAACAGATAGCGGCGAGCACGGATCAACTTCGACTTTGTTCCATTTTTCGACTCTTCAAGAAGAACTTTCTTCGCATCAGTTTTGTTGTTTTCTTCTGTCATTTTGGCTTTAACCGAAAATGCATAAGGCAGATCTGTTTCAAAGACTTCGCTGAGGGACGGGTCCAGATGAACGGCTTTGCAGTAAGTGATGAGTGCCTTAAATATATCGACTAAACATTAATGTAACTAGTATTAATACGGTAGGTGAAATTATTTCGCTCCTTCATTGCACTTTTAAAGTGTGTGAAATGCTGGAGGTTGCAGCAGGATGTTACGGGATATTACGAATTATTTCATTCTTAAAATGGAATCCGCTGATCCTTCTGATTTATGACATTCCCTTGAGTAAAAAGTCATATTTAATTCGCTGTATTAAACAGTAGATCCTAACCAAATGTTCCCAATAGAACATGACTTAAGCCGTCCAAATTTATGGGCCTGAATAAACGATTCGCCGCTGACTGACCCGACCGAAAAACAGTCAGAAAGCTGAAGACTTGCAAAGGAATGAGCCAGAATTATTCTCTGATGCGACCACACTACGATCACGAAACTCATAACTATAATGTTCAGTGCCTCATCAAAGGTTCCGTTGGCATTTTCAGCATGTTTAATTGGTTAAGGATGCAACTCAAGATACTGAGGATATGGTCGATATGCCGTAACCTAATGAACCCATGCCAACATGACTATTGAAGTCTGGCGCAAAATCAGTTACCCTCATTTTTATGAATCCCTATAGAGTTCGTCTCTATTTTAACTTTTTGCTGCAATAACTGGCTATCTCCGTAGACAATATTCCGTATCCGATGCACTGCTAACGGAAGACTGCAACGTAACAAATAGAATAATCATATAATAACTCTGAAACGCCTAGATCAGCCTCTTCACTGAAGGCAGCAAAATGATCAGGCGAGAGGCACCTGGTACTGCGGATGTTGAAATATCGAAAGCCGTTGCTTGCTTATTTGCCTCCCCTCGAAGCAACAAGGAGCAATGGGACGGTGCAACACGTCGTGAAATCTGGTATTTAAGTAGCTATGCATTAAATAAGAATCGCGTGTCAAAATTTTAATACTTACCATTTCAACCTCACCTAAATTCATCTGTGCACGACCCAGCGTCTGGTAACCGACGGGCCACAGAGGGGCAGACTTCACCGACTGCTGAGCTGCGACAACGGCATGAAAGTCGTCTTCGACAATCGTATACACCTGCAAGTAAATACTGAAAATGTGCGCGAAAGAAAACATTAACTAATAGGTTAAAGCATAAAAAACTGGCATGCACGTTCTACAGAAAAACGAATGAACTACAGAGAAATATTTGCAATTATTACTCCAATCTTACGACACACCTGTTTTTTAGCTGTAGGGGAAACCTTACGAACGATTTCGCTTGTGAGGAGGTATCCGCTTCCTGCTTATCACATTACACATGTCTTTTTAAATTTAGTAGTTTTAGGAGTTCCTTGCTTATTTATCTTCATCAAGATGCAACACTGTTAGAAACGAGACAGCTTAATCTTTGTATTGACTTAGTAACCATGAAAAAAATCTGTGTATCGCAGATTAAGTTACTTGTGAATAATTCGACCACCTGAGAGAGCATTTCGGTTATAGTCGGATCGGTGGGATTCATGTCTGCCGCTTGGCTCCAGACGTGGATAGCATCTTCGTACCGACATTTTTCCATGTACTGAATACCCTCAGCTTTCAAACGTTCAGCGCTGCGTCTAAGTTCTTCGGAGCGATTTGAAGTTTCTCTTCTATTTCTTTTATGGGACACTCCAGCCGGAAGTCCTGATAGTTGCTCCAACTCATCGTCTGAATCATTCAGCCATTTGGGTACGCGAGCATACGGAATGGCTGCAGTGCGCTTCTTCCAGCGAAATGGGATACAACTATTGCTGACTTCCATCAATGACAAACGTCAGCAGCTTTGCTGTCACTGTCTCGCTCTGGACCAAGCATGGCATCTGAAATGCAATAACTGTAAGTTTAAGACGTGACAAAACGAGGGAATAAACCTCTATTTACGTCAAGAGTAGCAAACAGTACAACCGAATCCACGAAATGAATAGCCTACCAATAAATGTTCCAGATCTCCGAAATGATATCATTTATTAAAATAACTGTCATCTCAAGTCTCACTGAACAAATATTAGGTACTACTTAGCAGAGTCGCAAAGTGAAAGTTGAAAAATTTTTGTAAAACGGTTTAATTATACACAACGCAAAACATACTGTGGTCAGTTCGGTGACTGAAAGTAACATTTCGCATAAAGCCTCCTTTGATACTCACTCACTTAAAAGAAGAAAGCAGATCAGCTGTTCTCACTGATGATCGAGTCAGGAAACACGATATCTCGTAAAAATTATGGAACTCGATCATGGTTTTTACTAGATATGGAATTCTGGAACTGGCAACGGAAGATCTGTTGTCGACGAAAAAACGTTCGTTCGTCGACGCGGAAGATTTCCTTTAGTATAAAAATGCGAAATGATATTTCATGAGCAGATATCACGAACTTAAGAGGGCTAAAGCACTGAAAAATGAGTAGAGATGAATCTGATAAAACAACAAGTCAGCTTTAAAACCCCCGTACTGTAATGCTGTATGAATAAACGACGCGGTCCTCATCAAAGCGAGATGAATGGCAGTTTGCTGTTACGGATCAATGGAATGAAATTCGTTGTACTGTGAACATGGAAGAACAACTTGAAATGGACCGAAAACGTTTCGCGCCGCAGAGACAACTACCATCTTTTCAGAGTTATGCCTTGTGCTAATTCTAACACTAGATAATCAGCCATTAGGTGAGTCAAATACTATCAAAATGGGCTACTTCAGGGACGAAAAGAGTACCAGGGTTACTACTAGTAGGATGGGAAAATCACACTATGAAAGATATGCGTATCGCTTAGAGGCGAAAAGCGCGCACTAGACAAAAGCACACTGACATCGGTGATATCACAGTTGTTTTACGTATTTTACAGCTAACAACTCCTATTTAAAAAAAAGATTAAATTGGTTAACAGCAGAAAAAACACAAGACAAATAAATACGACAAGGGCAGATGAGCTGGAGATTTCTGAAGCAATGGAATTGCTAAATTAAAAATGCGATATAGCAATTGCCTGTATAGTTCTTCGAGAAAAAATTCGAGCTAGGTCTTAACAAACATGCTCTATATATCTCTATTTTTGCAATATTATTCTTCAATTAACATGTTTACTATTTTTTGGAAAAGGAAGAGCGACAATTCCTGACAAACAGGATATCAACAACTCTTCCTGGTTGGTTCTATGTAAGGCTTATGGTCAAAAGATCGTCAAGAGCTATACAAAATGAAGCAGGAAAGTCGAGTTTGCTTTACTCTCGATTATCCCGTCCAACCCCGGAAATAGCTTATGTTAAATGAGGATTGCTGGTGAACTAGTTAACTACTTCCTATTTTTAAAAAATCTTTAAAAAATCAATTCTGAATGGACACTATATCTGGAAATTATTTTAATGCAGAGCTACATCGCGCTGAAACTAAACTCGTTAGAGAAATAAGGGCAGTTCGAACTGTTCGAGCGAACTAATTTCTAAATTACCAGCAGTCTTTGACCCTGTTCATTATTAGCATATCCTGTAATAAATTCCAACGGAATTCTACAGACAATATTAAATGATATTATCGGTATGTACGAAGGGAGAAATTGCGCTCGCGTGTATTTATGTAAGTGATTACCTTTAGCCGTTTGCATAAGTAGAACGCCTCTGGTTTGTGATATCCGCTTTATTCGCAGCGTTTCAACATTATTGCTATAAGTCTTTGATCGCTGCTTCGTAGAAAAAAACATTCCATTCCGAAAGCAGATATGCCTCTAACCTATTTCTACATGTTATATGTTACCTCAAGGTCGACATTTGCCATGCTTCGGTTTCAATTCGAGAAGCTTGTCAGCTGAAGTCAACAGTTATTTTGTCGACAATTTATCTAACATGGTCGACCTCTCTTTCTCTTTGCGCAGGACACCTGCGTCCGAAATTGTTTCATCAGGATTGAATGATCACTTTGACATTATTTCAATGTCGGAAATAGATTTCGATGAGGCTTAATGCTCTCTTCTCTTTCTTCACTCTGTCGTATAACATTCAGTTCAAACCAGTAGAGAGAGTAGAAGGGTCAAAGAAAAAAAAACTGAAATGTATCATAGCAACGAGTGCCCCTATCTTGAAAGCGGATGTACTCGCTACGATGCTTGTGCAGTCTTGAAAAGTAAGGCTCCTGGAACTCGTCTCCATGGTTTAAGCAGTACTACTACGCAACATCCTCCAGGAGCAATGATACCGATTACTCGAAAACGCCGAATTATCCAGAAAAATTAATTTGAGAGGACTAATAGAATACCATGTAAGTCGATGCATTAATGATATTAATTAAAATGCGGCTCCAATGCCGAGATGTATTTAAGGCCATTGTTTTGCTTCACTCATTCACTGGCCACAAAGAATCGTAGTAATGTGCATGCACTGTTATTGTTGCTATCGTAATCAAATACGAAAAAAGCTAAAACAACCGAGTAACCGTGATTTATGTCAGACCGTTAGTGGTGGTATTTCAGATTGATATGAAACAAGGTTCACCGTTGCAGCAGAGTTGAAATTGCTCTTTACCAGCGGTTTTTGCCTCAATGAGATATTTCCATGTTTTGTATTGTTTATCAAGGTGTCTGCAACCATTTGGACGGTTCCCATGCGAGAAAACTATTGTAAAGAATCTATTCTTTCATCGATTTCAGTCAGCCTCCAGGCTCTCAGTTTATCTGATAGGCTATTTGGACCGCTGATCATCGGCAACCGCTTGTTAGAGAACCGGTGATACAGTACAGTACAAGTATGCATACACCTCTTTGAAGCACATTTATTTAGAGCAAGAAATTTGACTTTTGCTGACTGAACTCTACCTTTATTATGATCCTGCAACATCACAGATATGAGCCACTGAATCTTTTTTAGCCTCTGTTGAAAACATAATGATGGACCGTTAGTAAAATATAGCAAACGCTGTAGCATCCATTTCTGTCGTTTCAAAGCAGCATTCAATTTCAAGAACTGCTGATATTTTAATGGGCAAAGTTATGGCATCATCAGCATATCTGGCTAAGACAATTGTAAATCGCAAATTTCACCGTCAGTCTTTCATCGTTCCTTTCTAAAACCTTTATCACGCGATCTATCTACGTATGTACACACGGCCAAACATCAGTATGCAACCATTCGCAATTACCATTCTTGGCAAGAATGCAAAAAATCTTGCGCAAAAGTGCAATCACTCTTAGAAAAATATTGACCCGCCGAAACAATAAACAGTGATTCTGATGGATTTTTCAGGTCTTAATTTCAACGACCAAGTTAATTTAGCTATCTTATCCATAAAATCCATATACGTGTGGCTCATGTAGAGCCATGAAATCAACTACGTTGAAGACTGGCAAAACCACGGAGCAGCAATAGCGAATAGATAACAATAATAACATTATAAAGAAAGCGTTTTACTTCAGTGATAATAGTCACAGATGAGGGTTACGTACCTCGAAGGCGTGTCTATTGGTGATGAAAACGGCAGGAACTGATCGACTGGCGAGTTGAAGTGACCAGCGACGCAATGCGTCAACAAACCCAAAACTTATGTGATTAAGGCAAAACTGAGTTTTAAAGCTGTGCTGCCTGTGCTAAAG